CGCGTCACCCGTCATCGCGAAGTCTGAACGCTGTCATCGCAGCTACTTGCGGCGAATATTTGACTTACCGTGCTATTCCCTTCTCTTACAGGGACGCATTGAAAATTTCCATTCTTATATCATAGATATCACAGGGATATCATACTTGTGTATCTCAACAACAAACTACGGCGCACTGTTTGCAGGCAAGCACAAAAACTGAAAAAAAACACTCACGTGCTGGCATATAGCCCCCATAGTATTGCACTTCCGTAGCCGGTCTATCGGATACTGGGCGGAACGTGTCGATTTCGAAGCTGAAACACATACTGAACTCCCTGAACTCTGGTATAGCGCTGGTGTGAGTGCGAGGCTGATCCCTCTCTTTGCAGCTGATTTTCGTTCGAAAAATAATTAGAGAAACAAAAAATATATCAGTTCAAAAGATACGGTTGATTGGGGAGAGAAACCAGCCTGAAGGACAAGAACGTATCTAATAGCAAGTCAATAAGCACAACTTACACTTTGAACGACAGCAGATCGTGACCGCTCATAAGATCACCGGTAGCAGCTGAGATACCCACATGATAGTTTACCGGTAAATACAAACCTAAAATATCAGGGAAAATGGATTACATGCATAACTGAATTAATTACAGTTCTCATAACCATGAAGGAGGTTTTTTTGTGAGCTCCCTGAATTGTTAAGGAACTTCCTGCATGATTATGCAATTCCAGGCGAATGAAAAGAAATGTCAAAACTCACCCGAAGCATTCGTACAGAGAGTCCAATGATCAAGGTTCTCCTTAGGGAGGGAATAGAAAACTTGAAGGGTTTCCCTCGCATATCTGATCAGAACTTTTAGTGATGGGACGGGATTGTCAGCAGAGTATTGAGTCACAATGCGATTAGCTCTGTAATACTCTAAAAATAAAACAGATACAGGGAGGATTATAAGTGACAGCTTATATGTACTTGAAATTGCATTCCGGCAAGACTTTCAAGTTATTCCCATCGACATTCACATTAACCTCGGCATCCTGCGAAGGGGTGTTGACCAGTATGAATAGACGGAGCGGTTGTGTAGCACTCTCGCCCCCTTCGTTTACATACGTGTCCAGTACTGAAATGATACTGTTAATGTCTAATTTCACATATTAACGCCGACGTGAAGCAGACTTAGGCACTCCTTTTTGCACGATTCAGCCAACGTACGCCATCATATGGTGGCCATCTGTATCATATCATATTCGTTTTCCGCCAACTGTTGTCGCTTACCGCTTCAACAACAGGTGGGAAACGAGTTTTACGCCCGCCAAGCGAATCCCTCGTGACACGCCCCTTCATCTGCGATGAACAAGACTATGGGATCTCTTCGTTCAAAGTTTTTCGTCAATAGAGACGATGGTGAAGCCCTGGATTTTATCAATTTTTCTATTGGCATACACCCTTTATGGAGCATTCCGTATTCGCGTATTAGATCGCGTTACAATATGCGCATAAAGTGGTGAAACCTGGTTCAATCCTAGCGTTTTTACCTTTTTACTATAACATTTACTCTGAAAGCTATGGTACACCACACTCGATAAATACGAGGTGACCGTTTTTTGGACTTAACGTCCCGTGTTAATAGTTCCTCGAGTCACTTGAGACACTATGCGAGCGTCAAAAAAGCAAGAAAGCCCTTACCTACTCCGATTCCATTGAATTTCGCTGGCGCTCCCCATGCAGTTCCTGAACCAGTTTTTTCAGTATACCAAATTCCCATACCATCTGCTGGTATGCCGTCCGACGAAATTCGTAGATGTGCCTACAACAACCAATAGAAATTGAGGGAAAATTTTTCACTAAATGGAAGCGTTCACAAATTGTTCTGATAGAGAAAGTCAGGTGCGGATGATCGTGAATTACTTATTTGCCAGCATATTCCAGCCAGTGTCAAGCGTCAGGTAAAACGAAACCCATGTCATAAGCATGGGGACGGAATTAATACGTTTTCTCACGTTACGGAGCTCATAAGTTACATAGGAGGGCTTTTCTCACTCAACTGACTAGACAAACAGCAGAACCGCGACGTTGAATCAATTAGGCCCTGGTGGGAATGCAACGCCAGTACGCCCTGCAATGCCTCTTTAGATGCCCTCGCTACGAATCGGGACCAACGGTATGGGGTCTAACCAGAGAAGGGTCGTGTGTATGGGTACCACTTAGTTCAAATGCGCTACCCAACGGTGGTCATGCTGTCACATAGCGCATTCCAACTCCCGTAAGTTCGTGAGAATTTATGTATTTTCATTTGCAGAGCTTCCACGAAATCAGCATGAATAGAGCACCCGTCCATGCATTTCAAAATTACAAGTACCTTCAAGAACCGATAGTCGTCGAAGCCCAGTGAACCTTGTATTCAGTGTAGGGCCAGATGTCATTGCCACCTCTACGGTTTCAAAGTTGTTCGACCTTTTCACCCAAGAAGACTGCAGCCTCGAGGGTTCTGATTGTGATGGACCAGCACGCTCCGCAATGAGTTAAAGACAGACCTCGCGCTCAGGCAATTCGTGGTCGTCCCTGCTTGTGCAAGTAATCCTGCCCGGAAACTTACCAGGAAAGGTCAACAGGTCAGCCTGGCCATTTGCAATGAGATGCACATCGTTGTACCCGTCTTGAGACGGTGAACTCAAAACTATCTTCAAAATTTGCGGAACGATTCTCTGAGCGGAGAGGTTTTTCTTTACTGTTTTTCTTCTTACGGGCGCGCTGGCGCCGAAGCGTTGGCACCTGTAGCGCGACTCACAGCGCTCTTCGCGCAAAATAGGTATCATATTCGTGTTCAGGGGGTCAAATAACCCCTAGAGACGTCACCTTAGCGAAATCTGAGGTTCTGACTCAACTTCGAAAAAATGGGGTATGGATAGTCATGGCTGACTGATAGCTAACAGCGATACTATGACTAGCATACAGTGCGTAACAAAAGTATGTGGACACCTCAAATTTTTGTCCTGCAAAATTGCCTTTGAATTTTGCGATATGAGACCTTTATTGTTGAATTCCTCATAAGCGAAAACATAGGAATACACTACTTCTGAGCACTTTGTGAACTACTGTACAATTATTTATTGTTTTGAAAAAGTTTCTTAATAACAAAAGTATGTGGACACCTGAGGAAGTCCAAAGTTTGGCTCCAGATCTGCAATCCATTTTTATGGTCTCTAGTCCCCATTAACCTGTACTCATACCTCGTCGTGGTAGTCCTCCCTACGAAGACGAACAAGCTCGGATTCGAGCTTCCAGTGCTGCAGGACACTCGAATAGAGAAATTGCAAGATAGCTTGGACTTTCGGCAACGTGCGTTGGTATATACCTCCAGAATCCTGATGGCTACCACTCAGTACCTGTTTTCGAGGCCC